ATTCTCTGTGTTACTGATAAAAAATCTGAGTGTTTTATTGATAATTTGACATTATTTGGATTTGAGACAACATGTGAAGGTACTTCAATCACATAAATATACACAACACTGCATAGCTTTTTTTAGAATTGCACAAAGAGCAAATCCTGGTTGGAACTTCCGGTCGGTGTACGACAATAAATGTGACATCTTACAATTCCAATAAAAATTGTCTCTTAGATGAGTATTACATGTTAATTCTGGATGAATCTAACAATACAGTACAGTATTCTAAACAATTAGAACTCAGTAACACCATATCATCATTGAAGATATTTACCAATTATACACTTCACTTGACTAAAACAACAACATTCTATATAACATTACGTTTACAACAGATGAATTAGGTTATAATTATAGAATTAGAGTTATTTTGTTGCTTAATTAATTTTTATTACTTTAGTTCCAAACAAAGTTAAGAATTCACAAGTGAATGCTTCATCGCATAATACGCTCAGTGTTGTCTGGGAAGAACCCAATCCTGTTTTGGGAATTATTACCAATTACATTGTCACGTGGAGGGTAAGTTGCGCATTCACTAATTAAATGGCATTCTTAATTGTTAATTTGCATTTTCAGTTTCTTGATAAAAGAGATTGTAGAGTTGCAAATAACACAGCAAATATTCAAACAAAAAATATAACAACCACGGCAATTGAACTAGATGATCTTAAACCATATTCAATTTATAATATATCTATATCAGCAGTAACTAAAAAAGGTCAAGGTGATATTGAGCATATTATAGGATACACGGATGAAACTGATACAATCGAACTACACTTTTTTAATTATAAAATTACCTCTTCAAAAACTTCGATACAAATAGATACTCACGTTGATTGTGAAAATTGGAACGGTCCAACCATTCTAAGCGCATATACTTGCATATGGAGTAAGGCAAAAAAAAATAATGTGACAAAAGAAATACAGTATAATGATGTAACTATTATAAAAGATTTACTTCCATTCACTAAATACAAATTAGAAATCTATCTGTATCGGAATCATGCAAATTCAGTTAGTAATTATAACAAATTATTATCCTCCTATGAGATAACACTATCAACTGGTATGTCAACTTTGTTTTCACTTCAAAATCTATTGGTTTTGTATTCAATTCAAATTTTAGTTCCAAATCAAGTTCCATTTGCAGAAGTATATAGCTTATCTGAAACAAGTTTATCATTGAGATGGAGGCCACCTTATCCACCAACTGGAATACTGGATTCATTTGTAATAAAATATTATTACACTTTAGGGGAACATAGCACACCTCGTACAGATACCAATTCTTTAAGTGCGTGTAAAATATGGAAAAATATGTATTGCACTACATTAACTAATCTTACCACAAACAAAAATTACATAATTTCAATTGCTGGGCGTAACCAGAACATATCTGAAAATGGCTTGGAAACAATTTTGAACGAAACCACATTGATTAAAAGTAATTTATACATATATAAAGTGAAATATTAATTAAATGTTCCTTTTAATTAGCCCCCCAATCTCCACTGAATTTGTTTGCAAATTGGAATGAGTCGCGATTTCTGGAGTTGCAATGGCAACACCCCAATAGAACAAATGGGCCATTCTTTGGATTTATAATCCGTGTTAATGATCGACAATATTTTTACCAAGGACCAGAAAATATAACCTATGCATACATGGTAGGTAACAGTTTTTGTCAAAATGTATGATAGTTTCGTCGCTAACCAACATATGATTCGAAAATGACATATTTATTTATACCGTTTTGTGCGTATTATAAATGTTTATTTAACATTTCAGACACCATTTCAATGCAAACTGCGATCCCATCATGTTATACTCTCAATACAAACAACCAACTCAAAATTCAATTCCATTCTGTTGCCTGAGCAAATTACTTGTCCAATTTTTGAACCATTATTGAAACATAAGTCATTTCTAAGACCAAATAACAACAACTCCGTGACTATTTCAGTACCATGTATTGAAAATGCTGAAGCAATTAGTAATTTGTATATTATTCTTGTCACCAATGAACCGGCCTATGGCGACGATTGCACAGATACTTTTGGAAGTAAATACGATTCATTGGTTCCAATTCAAAAAAACCAAACTTGTTGGATAATTGGACACTACGAACAACATGAATACAAAGAAATTGAAGAAACAAAAGTAAATATCAATTTAGGACAAATTCCTGAATTTAATTGTATAAAAGACTTGTATGAAGTAGGTATATTGATAGTAAATGAGTTGGATGACCAAATATCTTCTAATTGGTATCTTCTGGAACAATGCAAAATGGAAGATACCGATTTTCCAACAGTTTATGTGCTTTTGATTATTTTATTTATAATAATTATTATTATTGTTATTAGTATTTTTTGTTTATTTTTATGGAGGCATAAGGAAAACGCGAAGAAACGTAATACTAAAGATTCTATATCTACCCAGTTCGAATTACTCAGAAAAATCGAAGATGAGATAACTGATGAGGCAATGGCAAGTGAAATTATTAAAAAAAAAACGTAATTTGAACTTTATTTCACTTTATTTCTATATGATGTGAGTGTGCTGTATGTAGTTCAATTTTATTCATTCATCTAATTTTATTTCCATGTAGTTACGATAGTATTATCTACAAGCATTTATATAAAATACTATCCAAATAAAATCCAAAAGTAATGATCGTAGTTTTATTTTAACACTTGGTGAGAGTGAATTAATACATAAACCATATTATTTTTAGTATTTCTAAGTATAAAATTTGAGAAACTTTGAAACCACATACATTTCAGATTGAATACTAAAAATATTGATTACTAGCGGACCCAACCGACTTCGTTCTGAAATTTTTTGTTCCTGCCTATTTTATAGTCGGCGCAAACAATTCTCCTGAACAGAACCCAAACCAAAAGATGTATAAAAGAGTATCTTCGTTTCCACGAACTTTGGCCACTAATGAGAACAAATTATATTAGTGAGATACACAAAACACTAAATGAAACAATTAAACAAAAATGAATCGAAGAAAGCTGCGAAATTTGTTTCGTTTATCAGTTGACAAAAGAAAACTCAGTTGAAAACACTTTGAGCAAAACACCATATAAAACAATGAATCAATAATAAATCGAAGAAGGCTGCGGAATTTCTCTCCTTTATCAGTTGAAAAAAGAAAACTCAGCTTTTCCCATTTTCCCGGCAATTATTCAAATTTTTCTCGCCGTAAAAACCACCCTTGGACTTTAACAAACATTTAAAATAAATAATTGGCCAAATTAGTCTGCATTTCATTTTAGGGCACAAGAAAAAACAAGAAAACAAACACCAAATATTTAACTTTATAGGTTGTCATTACTGATTCTCTCTATACATAAACAATTATATAAGTAAAACTTATAAAACGTTCAAAAATTGTTACTAATACTAATTATTCAGGTTCTGTTAATTTTAAAAAATTTCAATTTATTTATACGCAAACTAATATGTCATCAACATATCGATACCAATAAAGACAGGATTTGAATGAATTTAAAGATTTTCTTTTTGATTCTAATGATGTCATAAATATTTCAGCAAGTGACGAACTTAGGGGGTTTCCCATTGCTAATAATTTTGATTCAAACATTCAGATAAAAGGAAAAAAGTTCATTTGGAAATAATTTGGATTGACTCGATTTCTAGTATATTTCTTTGTAACATAAAAAATTAATTTTGAATTATTTGGGATCCTAATATGTCTAATTTTATTTATGAGCTCAAAAGAGTTTTGACAGAACAAATTGATTTATACTAGTAAATTCTACAATTCGGTTGATTAGGGTTTTGATAGATTTCGACAAGGAGCAGAAATATAAGGAATAACAGGTCTGATGGAGCAATTTTACTTCTTTTCCACCTACATTGTTCATTGTTCATATATTATTCACTGCAGAATCAACTCCGAGCTTTGTTTGATGTTGCAACTTTGTTTCAAAATGATTTTAAAAATTACGCAAACTTGGGCACAACCATATCTCTAGCCAACTTTAAACATGATTAAGCGTAGCATTTGACTAAGTCTTACCATGTAATGCTATTAGTAGTAGGAAATATGTTCGAGATTGATGAAGGGAGTGCAATTGAAACAACATAAATACAGCATTCAAAAGAAGGTACTAGAAGAAAGTTTGAGGAGTATGCAATTCTCGATATGAAGAGAAAAAAGAGCAAACAGACGAAGAATAACAGGAGGTGGATTAGTGGACAAAACTCAAACATTTGATACAATTCCAATTCCACGAATTATATTGTTACTTTTGCTTGTAAATAAATTCAATATTTTATCTCTTATTTTAATGCACCGCGTTTGCACCGAATAGGAACCGATACATAACATGTTACAAACATTTAAAAGATCAAAATAGTAAGATAGTACTTTAGAGATCAAGTTTTCTATATTTTTTATATCAAGCTGATCATAATTTGATGGTGTACAAGCATCATAAAAATAAAATTGTATTTAGCGAGCAGGCTAACATTTGATATAAGTAGCATGCTTATCAACATTTGCATAAATGACGTAGATTATGAAAGATCTTTACCATTGTGCGGTAAGAATTCTAAATAAAACAACCATTTGATGAATAGATGTTTAACATATAATGTTATTAAATAAATTGTAACTAAAAAATACTTGGACAAAGTCGAGCGCATAAGTGTGTTTCACAATCAAATTTCTATGTGTCATATATTAATTACTGTATCTGGTTTGAATTTGATAAAAATCAATATTAGTTGTTTGCACAAGAATAAGATACCTCTGATAAGGAATTTTTCGGAGAAATATATAAATCAAAAATTCTGTGAAATAATATTTAAAGTGATTTTTTCTTAGAATGTACAAATTATCAATGATTAATTAGATAAAAATAGATAAAAGTGTAAACATAAAGCTGTGCTTAGTATTAGTATTCAGAATGCGATCGTGCCTATTACTCTTGTTCATAGCACAACTTTCTTATAAGGTGCATGGAAAGACGCAATTGTTATTTGCTAATGTTACTGGAACTGGAAAAAATGCGAAAGTTCGTGCTCCATATGTCAATGATGATTACAGCGACGCAATTACATGGGTTACCCTAACCACCAACATGATTGGACTTTTTCAGGCTGATTTATACTATATTTAGATTCTAGCGAGCTAAACGGCTCTTCACTCACGAGATTTAATCGATTTAATCGAGTGTTTAACAACGGTTACCGAAGTGATGCTTATGCAATTTTTTTTATTCTTACATTCAATTACCACGTTGAGGTTTTTTTGTTTGAATTTTTGTTTTTTAACTATAATTTCATAAATTCATGGGAGTAAGTTTAAGTACTAAGTACTGTTATTGAAAGCGTAGACACTATCTCTCCCAATAATTAAAACACCTGACTAAAGTGTCACATTTTGAGCCACGAAACCATGGAAAAGGTGGCACTTTTGAGGTAAAAATAGAAAAAATATTATTAAGCACGAATAATTATCTTACTTAAAAAATATGGGTGAAGCGTAGCCTACAACGCAACGTTTGGTCCAGTGATGGATTATACTTGAGAAAGTAATATTTTATATATATATTATTTATATATTTTATAACATATTAATAATTAATTTTCTTCAGTGTTCCCAATTACTATGACTAGATCGGCTCACCTTACACAAAATTATAACTTTGAAAAATTAGGTGAAATTAATACCAAAAATAGTTTTGAAATCGATTTTTCCTTTTTGGGAAAATCAAGTGCACAAATTTACTTATGTTCAATCTCATTGATAAAAGGGGTGAATGCATTATTTTTATTGTGGGTGGGTGGAATGGAAAAGGAAGTGTTATAAGACGGTGTAAAGATGGTGCATCACCTACAAACTCCGAATATAGATTAAGAGGATGCGAAAATATCGTATATAAGGTATGCAATATTAAATAACAGCACTAATGAGGTTTAAATAGGACATTTTTAGATTGACCATACATGCTTTGTAAATCGACAATTACAAGTAATAATCAATGATGAACATTTATTATCATACTTTGCTAAAAATGACGGAGAATTTAACAATTTTACAAAATTATTCATACATTCAAATACCGAACATGCGATTTGGAAATATCATGACTGTATGTAATCAAATTTTAATGCATATATATTTAATCCCAAATGTTGCATTTTAGATACATATTATAAAACTCAAAAACCAGTTAATAATTTTATTACTAGTAATTGGTTTTAAATTTGCTTTCACAATTGTCACATTTTTATATTGGAAATTTAAAATGATTAGATTATTTTATATTTCATAAGTACCGGAATTTTATTTACATTACTATTCATGTCATGATGTAATTTGTGATGATTACCAAAACGGTTATAGGTGCTGCCCAGACAACACTTTATTTTGTAGGTTATGAAGAATCTACTTTTAAATTGACCGTATTTGGAACTAAAACATTAAAATAATAAGATTATGGCAAACATAATATTATGTGTTATTCTGTTGTTTCTAGTTAATTGTAGTGTATAATTGGTAAATATTTTCAATTATGATATGGGGTTACTGAGTTCTAATTGTTTAGAATATTGTACTGTATTGTTAGCTTCATCGAGAATTAACATGCAAAAACTGTTGAACAGACAATCTTTATTGCAATTGTAGGATGTCACATTTATTGTCGTACACCTGTTTGAATTTGATGTTTGTGTGATACTAAAAGAAATATAGAATCTAATCTACTTCTGAAAAAGTAATTTAAACGTGTTGCTTGAATTTTAGTATTTTTTTTAGTTCCAGCAACATTTGCAAATACATACAGTGGAATCCCGGTAATCACTTTTCAGCGCATTGTCGGACTACAATCCGAAACTTTTCACAAAAGAGTACCTTGTAATTCGACAAATTACCAATTCAATGATAAGATTTATTGAATTAAAATTTAGTGAAAAAGTAGTGGTACGTACAAGTTATAACTTGTTTATTCACGCATTTGCGACCCTTGTTGTCGGATTAAGCCGGGTTCGAATTACCGGGATTCCACGGTATTTGATTTGTGTTCTCCTCCTGTTCCTATGGAGCTATAGCCCGATTCGGGCCTTAGCCTCTCCCAAATGCTTCCTCCATTCTTTACAATTAGAGTTTAACAATTCTTTCTGTTTTTAATCAAATTTTATTTTTATCTAAAGAGTATTTAATAATTGTATAAAACTATCAAAGATTAATAAGATGAATAGGTTAATGATAAAATTATGTGTGTTTAATAACGTCCAACATAAGGCTTATCATAATATGACAATGTACAGGTATCATAAAAATAAAATTGTATTTTGTGCAGAAGCTAACATTCGATATAGTATTTGGAA